CTCTTGATCTTATGTTCAACCTCTGGATATATTTGACTGACAGGAGTGTTTAAAAATGTGATAGTCTGGCAAACTAGTACATTTTGTGTTTTATTAGCCTGTGTTAGATGTGTTTGCCAGACTAACGTGTGAGTGTTAGATTAAAGCCTGATTAACACATAGATATGTCAGTATGCTGCAAGATGTTACCAGTTGTATTGAGATGGAACCTATCAATTCTAGCCCTATACTGGTGATATTACAGCATGTCTCAATCATGAAAGATATAATTTCAGTTGGTGGCTATATTTAGTGTTCTCTCATGCAAAAAGGACTTGAAACAAGCTATAGTGGCAAATAGCTCCAGGGTATTGATCATAAAAAAACAGATATGATACACAGGATAATCAAGGATGGCCATAAGTGATTCGGTATTTATTGGGATTGATCGGATTACTGATATTATTATTTGTGCCTGTCATTAGCTGTCAACAGCTGTCACATCTATCGCTTATTTCAGAGTTCAAAGTCACTGTCAATGTCATTCAAACATTGTGAAATGGATAGGAGTATGTGTGTCATTTTGATTGGTTGAAAATTGGATAAGATTTGATCCTAGAAATTTTTGGTCTTATCACTGTGCATGAGTACTTTTCTTGATAATTCTTTTCTTCTATATCTTAAATTTGAAGAAAAAAAACACCTTTCGTTCAGCTTGGTGAAATGCATACCACATTAATTTAATATTAAGTTTGAGCAATAGTTATCAGCATATCAGGACATATTGATTTAGTTTGGTTTTTGTCCTCATTGAGGTGGGTTTGCTTATCACGGAAACACATGATGTCATCATTTGTATAATGTCGTGTCTGTTTGACAGCTGTAGGGGTTGATCAACTTGATGTAGAGAGAGAGAAACTGTGCTACGGACAATGATTGTTGTTGAGTATTCAGTAACAAGAAATTTTAACATTTGACCATCCACTGAGACCTGTGTGGAATTAACATCAAACTGAAGTGGCCTCCTTAGTTATAGATGATAGAGCATCTACCTGGTGGTTTCGATCCATTGCTGTGTCAGAACAAAAGATGTTAACTGATGGTAACCTGCCTGGTTCTTGGTATGAAAGGGATAAAACAAGGACTGGTTGGCTTGGAGTCAGTATTACCAGTATACTGTGTTGGAGTGGGGTATCCATGTTAATCTGAGGCATTGTATCTCAGTGGGCTAGCACTATAAAACTGGCATAAGTATGGACTATAGTACAGGCACACACCACACATCTGCATGCTAAGACGTTAAACCCCCATTTCACTTGACTTTATTTGAAGTTGCCTGTGTTCAGTAAGGGAATGTTTTAAGCATCAACTGCCTTCAGCATTTTGAAAAAATAAGTTACTGAAAACTCGGGAATATTTATTCAGCTTTTGAGATAACTATGATCGTAATGAACTACTAAATTTTCCTTGGATGACAAATGATTGTTACTCATTAATATTCCATAAAGCGTGTCTGTGTGTGATGATTACTGCTGCTTACTAGCTGACATCGCGGAAATCTTGGCCCTTGAAGTTTCTGCTATAGAGGTCAGTAACTTGGTTTATAGCCTGTCAGCGTAGCCCGATGGCATGGATTGTTGATGTCATACACAAGGTTGTCTAGTCCAGACTCAGTATATACACAATACAGCCTGCCATATGTAGCTGGAATATTGCTGAGTGCTTTGATAAACAACAAACTAAAGTTAACATGCTTTGATGTAACTGTTTGTTGAACACCAACACGGTATTACAGTACATGTATTTCATCTGCAAAATAGTGATTGGTGGATTATGTTCCATACTTTGATTCAGTCCTATTAGAAACTGAATTAATTTGCTTTCAATAGATCATATTCAGAAAATTGGTAAACTTAGCTCATTTTCTCTGTACATTTGAAATACATTTGAATAATTTCCGTTTATAGTTTGGTTGGATGCTTTCAGCTATGCTTGGCCGATCTTTAAGCTGCTATGTGGCTGGAACACATGGACATGCTTGAGTGACAATTGTAATGTATTAGCCGAAAGTTGTGCAGAACGTAAATTATGAACATGTACAAAATTGTGACCTTGTATTAAGATAAGCAGGAAAAAGGAGATAGTAACTGGTTTTACCAGAAAATCAGCATAGAACTCTCCTCACTCACTTTTCCTTATACCATGTATACATGTTATACAAATTAATGTTTTGTAAAGTGAGCAACTGTTATTGTTAACACTTCAAGGTGACTGAAGGAGACAGTCCTATGTACATCATTACTGTTCAGAATATTCGAAGCACCTATCGGCCCTCCCACCATACAGCAGGCAGTCTCTGTGTACAGTGTAACTTCTTGGAACATCATAGCCTGTTTATATGCATCTATATTCCCGATCATGAACACCTGGTGTCATGAACAGCTGGTTAAACATGTTAAACCTAAGAATTTTTAATTTTATTTTAAGACTGGTTCAGACGACTAGTGAAAATTATTTCCCCAGTCCTCCAAGTTTGTAGCTAATCCTGCTTGAACAAGACAAAAGTGTATATTATGTTTACATTTTCTGTCAGTTTTATTCTAAAGGTTGAGTACTGGTCTGGAATTATGGCTATCAAATGCTTCTAGTCTATTAGGACCACCAGCATTGGATTTTTACTTGTCCTCACCTCCTGCTGTAGTCTAGTGGTAGAGCGGAAGCCCGAAGAGCAGAAGGACCAGGGTTCAATCCATTTTTGTTACCCTGCCTGGCACTCGGCAGTTAGGGGCTAAAACAAAGACAGGTCTGCTCGAAGCCAGTATGCTGTGTCTGAGTGGGGTATTTATGTTAAACTCGGTCATGGTGTCTCAGTGAGCCAGCACTATAAAATTGGCATTAGTCTGGACTAGTACAAACAGACACTCACACACGTACACATGCAGGCATGTTGCACTATAACTTTAATAATGCTGAACTCAAAGCCCATTTTGGCCCGCTTGTCCTTGGCACATTTAAGTAGTCTCGGGCTAGCAGACCAACGTGAATTTCGAAGGCTGCTGGTCTTTTTAGTATCTTCCAACCTTACTACTTAAACCTTCTTGTAAGAGGCGACTGACGGGATTAGGTGGTCAGGCTCGCTGAATTGGTTGATGCATGTCATCATATCCCAATTGCATGGATCGATGCTCCTGATGTCAATCACTGGATTGTCTGGTCCAGACTGCTTTATTTACAGACTTACTGTATGTTGGATGAAGCTAGGCTCGGATACGAGTCAGCTGACATTGTAACATTCAATTCTTGGTGTTTGTCAGAGATGGAAAGTTCAGTGTAATTGGAGCAGCTGACAATACATTGTTGGAGAAATATTACTGAAGTGTAGTGGATGCATCTGTTGGTGATACATCTATTCTTTGTACTCATCAGGATTTATCTTTTTAACTAATTAACATTCGTTCAAATAAACACTCTTTTCCAGAATATTCTTAAGCAAGAAAATGTTTTCCAGGTGAATAAATATTTGCGACATGATCAATGGGCATTGTAGTAAAGGGAACAGTGTTATTGTACATGATTGCTGATAGTACACCTATTTATTCAGTTTATATTACACTATAGCAGTCTGTTCAATGTAAAAAATTATCTTAACTCTATTGATTCCAATGGTCGTGAATTTGTTTACTAATGCGATAAAGATGCACCAGTGCATGGCAATATAACAATTTGCTTCTTTCTGTTTGATATGCATCCTCTCACAAACTGTTTAATCATCTGGTTAGATGGCTTATTGGTAGTGATCACCATTTTAGTATTGTCATATCATTCAAGTCTTTCCTTTAATCTGATTATTTATTGGGGGATCAAAACTATGTTCTCATTTGGAGACAAAAATGTTATCATTTGTGTAATTATAATTCACGTGAACTATGGGTTGTTGATGTGTGTTGTATCATGAACAAAACATGGGGATACGTATCAACAGTTCCATAGAAATCAAGATTCGATTAGTCATACTTGTTTGTGCTATATAGGTTTAAAACCTTGTGATTATTGTCAGATATTTCAATAGAAATGAAATTTGGAGAAGTATCTCGGTCCCATTCTCCACATCAATATTACTGCTGTGAGTAGTCAGTATACTGCATCTGTGTGGGTATCCGTGTTAAACTGTGGCTTGGTATCTCAGTGGACTAGCACTGTAAAACCAACATTAGTCCGGACTAGTACAAGCATCAACATATACACATGCATGCAAGTCGCTATTAACTTGACATCCATAATGTGGCACCTACATCAATCTCCCTGGTTACGAGTGCAGGGTATTAATTATTGCTGTAAGGAGCCTGGTTACTTAGCCTTGAAGTGTATGTACCGAAGGCAGTACTTGACGGTTGTTACATGTGTAGGCTGATGCTTACTTGGTTAAAATTGGCTATGGCATATCCAATAATTGATAATTAATAAAGATGGAGGCACAGATTTTAAGACCCCTTTAAGTTTCCAATGACTGAAAAAGTGTGTCAATTCAAGCATAACTTTATCAGGTGCCTGAGTAAAGTCAGGGTTATGAAAGTCATTTATCTGAACAGTCAAAGGTCTCTGCCTTCACTACAGGCTAGGGGCGGTCGGGTAGCCTAGTGGTTAAAGCGTTCGCTCGTCACGCCGAAGACCCGGGTTCGATTCCCGACATGGGTACAATGTGTGAAGCCCATTTGTGGTGTCCCCCGCCGTGATATTGCTGGAATATTGCTAAAAGCGGCGTAAAACGTCACTCACTCACTCACTCACTACAGGCTAGCATCACATTGGGTTGACCATTTTCTCCTCTGTTTCCATGTCTTGTTATAAGTGGCTGCCAATTCTATTTCATGACACCCCTTTTTGTCAAAGACAGGCCTGAAGAGTCCCCATCAGGGTGAACTCTGACAAAGGGATGGATGAGCCAGGTGAGCTAGGTGAGCTCGCCTTGTGTTACCTCAGGTTGGCAGTACAGGTATCCTGATGGTGTGTTTGTGTTTCAGCAACTTCCTGTTATCCAATCCAGTGTGATAGTGCGCTGTCGCTCCTGTCGGACATACATCAACCCATTTGTACACTTTGTTGACCAGAGGAGGTGGAAATGCAACCTATGTTATCGTGTCAATGATTGTAAGTATACAACTTTCAAATTGGTGACTTTTATCAGCAGCCTGATCAGAACATTAAAAATATGAATGAATTACCCTATTGTTGGAAAATCACATAAAATTATTATGAACAATGCATGATGTCATCTTCAGTTATTTGCGCAAATATGTTCATATGATGTCATGTGCCTCTTCGCAAACAATAAAAACGATGGAAAACTTGTTATAATGCTCTGTAAGAATTAATGAAACATTTCATCTAATAGCTGTGTCCTTATGGGAAATATTTTGCGTCATTTTTGTAGTTCATGGTGTCAAATTGTAGAAAGGCTGGAAATTGACTTTTTGTTATGTTCTTGGTGAATTTTGGTAGTTTAGTTTGTTTAATATCTTATTTCAGTACCAGATGAATTTTCATTTGACCCAGTTAGTAAAACATACGGAGATCCGCAGCGTCGACCAGAGGTGAAATCCGCTACAATAGAGTTCATAGCACCATCCGAGTATATGGTGAGTGTGAACTGTCTCCTGTCAATGTTGCTGTATGTTGTTTGTAGAATTGCCAGATGCGATTAAACAGGAAAAACATGACATGTTAATATTCAGTGAATATTTATTCTATAATAGCTTTACATAGACATTTAGTACATGCATGGCTGCAGAGGTTCAATTTACTTATTCACTTGAGCAGTACAAGGACTCACAGCCTAGAGATTACTGTCATTTCTTAGATCAAAGGTTTTTTTATCAGGACTCCTTCCTTCAGTCCTCCTGTCTTTGAAGCTCCCTAAGATGATGCGATTTTTACAAATATTTCCGACAGAGATGATTTAGAACTTGGTCCCTTACAAAAACTTTGTGCATTTTATGTAAATGTTATTGCTTGAAGTAAATAATAGTTATATGAAAAACGTGTGGTGGCGTGGTCCTGGGTGTAGTGCACAGGTCACAAATCAAGTGAAGTTAGTAATGTTGGTCGCGGTTAGAAGTTGGATGGATGATTGTTTATGACTCTCTTGTTTCAGTTGAGGCCCCCTCAGCCAGCAGTGTATGTGTTCCTACTAGATGTGTCTTTCAATGCCATCGAAACTGGTATGTATTAATGATGTCTACAGGGGGTATTAGCTGATTTTGAGAGAGACCTGGAGGGAATTGTGGGTTAAAATTGCTCCCCACCTACCTATGTAAGAGGTTGTTAAATGGATAGGGTGGTCAGTTTTGGTGACTTCGTTGAAGTGTTTGTCCTCGTAACCCCACAACTTGAATCATTGTACACAGTATCTGTTACTGGTTTTTATAGTCAAGACTTGATTTACAGACTGCTATCACTTTGCTGGAATATTGCTGAGTGTGGCATTAAACAATAGACTGTGTGTAGTGGAAAACATCCTGGTTATGAAGAATAACTGATTTCCATGGTGAAAGTGATTTCTGGGTTAAGAAGTTACACACATACCGTATATAGGCATTCTTTTGTAATAGTTAGAAGAATGTGTCTTTTTTACTCACATAAAGACATGTTGTCTAAGCCAACCTATTGTTTTAAAATCTTCTGTGATGTCATAAAGAGAATATTTGCATGTCCAATTTTGTGTCTACCAAATACGGAAATGCAGACTGTTTTATTTTTCAAACACTGTTTTGGAGCAAGCTATTGTATGTACACAACTCTTCCTGTGTTTGTTGCTGACCATGTGCACGTGTGTTCTGGCAGGCTACCTACAGTTGTTCTGCCAGGTTCTGCTGGACGAACTGGACAAGGTTCCGGGAGACACCCGGACGCAGATCGCCTTCCTGGCATACGACCGCTTCCTCTACTTCTTCGGTCTGGCAGAGGGGCAGTCTCAGCCACAGATGATGGTGGTTCCAGATCTTGAAGGTAGATCATGGAAAATTACTTCCAGTCAGATTATAGAAAATATGAAAATTCTCATCAGAAGGATGCATTGAGCAATAGATGCAAACCTTGTTTTCCTGTAAGTTTTAATGTACTCTTGTTCATCTTCCTTGATGAATTCTTGGACTAAGCAACCATGCCAACTCACTCACCCTACAGATAAATATTGTGAGCGTTGTCTGTATGTTTTCTTTGTCTATTCCTCCAGACATATTCCTGCCCTGCCCAGACAACCTGCTTGTGAACCTGAGTGAGAGCAAGGACCTTGTGATTGACCTCCTCAACCAGCTGCCCACCCTCTTCCAGGACAACAGGGAGACGGGCAGTGCACTCGGGGCGGCCTTACAGGCATCCTTCAAACTAGCGGTCAGTCCTGTGATTATATTCTACTTTGGAACAGACACTGAAATATTGTATTGTAGGAACAAGAAATCCTTTAAATTAGCAGAGTCCTGTGATTATATATATATGAATGGACCTTACAATATTCTATAGGAACAAGATTTCCTTCAAACTAGAGGCCAGTTAGAGTATGCTTTCATTTTGAAAAAGAAAATGAATAACATACAAACTATTATTAGAAATATGTTCATGCGAAAATCATTGACTTTTTCTGATGATTCTGGATTGTTATAAAGACTGACATCTGTATTTTTTTATGTCAGACTTTACCGTCAAGTCAAGGTTAAGGAGTATGGTATTCATTTGTGTCATATCTAGATTTAAGAACATGCTATGTTGAATTGTATGACGAAGTGCTCCTGAGTGATAGTGCTATGTGTGTATAGAGTGGTTCTGGAGGCCGAGTGACGGTGATGCAGACGGTTCTACCAACAGTCGGACCTGGGGCTCTGCAGGCCAGGGAGATGCCGAGCAATGTTTCAGCTAAGGTAAGGAGCAGTTTACACAAACAGTAACTATCAATGTAAAGCTTCATGATTCATGTTTGTAACCTTAGTACCTGCCACTGATATTGACCTTGTTCAAAGACACAATCTTTTACTTTTCTCAACAACAGTTTTCTGTCATTTGAAAATCAAGGCAAAGGAAAGGATAAAAGTATCCTTGGGTGAAAATCAGGAGTTAAGAGTTAGTCTTTGATCACACTGTTTCCTGGTCTGAAGGCACCATATCCCTGCTTGTGGATTCCACCAAAGTGTTAAACGCCTAAGACCTGTGTCACTTAGGGCTGTCCTCCCACATGAAGCTGACATGCTGTGATATAACTGAAAAAGTGTTTACAGTGGTGTTGAAGCTAACTACTTATCACTTTTTTCACTAAGCATTTACTTTAACTCTTAACATGTTCATTCTCAACTTACCTCTGCAGAATGTTTGACTTTTCACTCCTCATACCCTGCTAAAATGGCATTCATGCATTTATGTTCAAAATACTTCCTAAGAACTGGTTGCATATGTCTTTGTTTGCTAAATTATTTGGTAGCTGCTCCTGAAGTCTGGAGCTAGTGATTTAGGAATGTATCAGGCAGTTAGTATTGTAATTCTTGTATTTTCAGAATGTGCCTCATTTGGGTCCAGCAACCGATTTCTACAAGAAGCTTGCATTGGACTGCTCAGCGCAGCAGATATCAGTTGACTTGTTCTTGCTCAATGGCCAGTATGCAGATTTAGCAACACTTAGTAAGTGCAATGCAGTTGTGATATATTTGTCAGTGATGATGATGATGATGATGATGATGATGATGATGATGATGATGATACAATATATACAATTTTGTTGACCACAAGTCACTACAGAAGAAATCAATTCAAGAGTTCCTTTCTTTCTTTTCTCTATGAAAAACACCATACACCAGGCATCCATGCTTCATGTGAATCACAACCTGTGGACAGTTTTATGTACACAGATTTAAACAAAATAAAGTGCCTTGCACCAGTTTGATGATGGAACAAACATATTCCCTGTGAGTTCCCTGTGACACTCTTGAATTTGTTTTACATGTTTATCGTGATCTCTATTTCAGCATGTGTGTCGAAGTATTCGGCTGGTTGTGTGTACTACTATCCATCCTTCCACACTCTCAAGACGCCAGGGTTAGTGGACAGGTTCGATGCAGACTTCAGGAGATATCTCACCAGGAAAATTGGCTTCGAGGCTGTGATGAGGATACGATGCACAAGAGGACTTAGCATTCACACGTTCCATGGCAACTTCTTTGTGCGGTCGACAGATTTGCTGTCATTGCCAAACATCAACCCTGATGCTGGGTTCGGCATGCAGATGTCTATCGAGGACAACTTGACAGATACGTCCAGTGTGTGTTTCCAGGCAGCTCTGCTGTACACCTCAAGCAAAGGTTTGTGTACCTGGATAAAAGCGTTCTGATATCGGCTGACCACCTCTATGGTGTAGTGGATAGAGCTTCTGTGGAAAGTCCGTCGTTCGATCCCTGGCTGCATTGTAGCAATAGACGTTAAAATATGGTACTTGTTGTTACCCTGCCTAGCTCGCCTTTAAGGATATAAAACAAGGACTGGAGTTGGTAATCTGTGTCTAGGGTATCAATGTTAAAACTGGCTTGGTATCTCAGTGTGCAAGCGTTATAAATTAGTTGGCAATAGTTGCTATATAAGTGCAGTAATTTGGAACGCAATGTTAAACCCCATTTTACCTCTCCTCTGATATTAGCTTGGTGGTTAAGGTGTCCTTGTCTGAAAGAAGACCCTGATTTGAAGCCAATTGATGGTGTACCCCACATTTGCTATCATGATGATGGGTAGTGAGAGGCTTCTTGAAGGAGACCGTCACAGTTTATAAGCCATGATTCAGTGTGGGGAGAACCAAAACTCTAGATACTCGCAGGAGTCCAGCCTTCTGCGGGCAGTCACCTGTCTACTCTTCATTGCCAGTGTTGCTAAGCTTCACTTAATTTGACCAGGACCACGTGCCATCACTTGTCTTGTTCTTACATTTGTGTTGTCTTCTATAGGAGAGCGACGTATCCGAGTACACACACTGTGTCTGCCGGTGACCAATCAGCTGAGTGACGTGTATGCAGGCGCAGATCAACAGGGCATCATCTGTCTGCTGGCAAAGATGGGTAGGTGCAGCTAGTGTGACACTTGTATCATGTAGTGGGATGCAACACTCATGGGCAAGATGAGTAGATGCAGCTGGTCATATATCTTTCTTGTCCCCCGATAGTGTCTCCTTGTCGCCTGATATTATGTCCTTGTTCCATCATATTATGTCCTTGTCCTGTGATACTATGCTCACTGCCCTGTTTCACAAATACTAAGCGCTATGATTTTGGAGGTTTATGGCAGTATGGGCATTACATTTTTTTAGCCTTATGATTGTGAAAATCCAGGTTAGAATTGCTCTTTACAAACTCAGGCTTGTCGTAAGGCGCATAGGCTTGTCGTAAGATGCGACTAACGGGATCGGGTGGTCAGGCTCGTTGACTTGGTTGATACATGTCATCATATCCCAGTTGATCGATGCTCATGCTCACTGGATTGTCTAGCCCCGATTCAATATCAACATGTAGCTGGATAATTGATGAGTGTGGTGTTAAACAAAAAACAAACAAACATTGTGATTACAGAATAAATATCAATAAGGATGATCTCTGACATGTCTGAAGCAAGTGTGTTTGTGTTTACTCATGTACGGATTGTAAGTGATATTATCCATTAGTTTGGACGATTCCTGTTATGCATAGCATAATAACCAGCACATGACTTCAACAGTTACTGCCTCTCTGTTGCAGCGGTCGACCGTTCAGTGTCGTCCAGTATGGGAGATGCCAGGGATGCTCTCATCAATGCGGCATTGGATTGTCTGTTGTCGTATCGCCAACAGGTCCCTGCATCACAGAGGATGGGAGCTCTGCCGTTGCCCTTCACGCTCCGAATCCTTCCTCTCTATATTCTTGCTATGCTCAAAAGTGTAAGTTTACTAGTAATGTGTGTACAGATGTATGGCTTGAAGTCTTGTGATGTTGAATGCAGAAGAATTCGGATCAAGAATATGTCCTTTATGTACCACATACTTGTAGTATGATAACCATGAAGACACGGGTCAGAATTGATCTTCATCAACGGTGGGGTAGCCTAGTGGTTAAAGCGTTTGCTCCTCACGCCAGACCTGGGTTTGATGCCCCACATGGGTACAATGTGTGAAGGCCATTTCTGGTGTCCACCGCCTTGATATTGCTGGAATATTGCTTAAAGCGGCATAAAACCAAACCAATTTGTTTGCCTTGATGATGCATTATTGCTGACTGAGGTTAAAAACATTTACTCCCTGAGCAATACTTCTGGCACTCAGTTTTGATCTGAACCTCTGTTAACATTGTGTAACATGCTCGAAATCAAAACCAAAATCTACATTATTTCTTCTATGGCTATCACCAGCTGGTGCCAGATTATGACAACCAAAATACTGCATGTGTGTTTCTATTGATATTTCACAATGAAAACAGAATCTACATACAGTCTGGATGTTACATGAATTCAGCTAATAGCTTTCTTACAGCACATTAACCAACCTATTTATATAGATATTTCAGCGGTCCTTTGAGTCAGCTGCTAATGTCATTATAACACCATATTTGACCAACCTATTTATATAGATATTTCAGCGGTCCTTTGAGTCAGCTGCTAATGTCATTATAACACCATATTTGACCAACCTATGCTGATATTTCAGAGTGCCTTCCGGTCAGCTACCAATGTGAAGCTTGACGACCGCGTGTTCAGTCTGCTGCAGTGCAAGACTCTGCCGTTGATGTACTTGATGCAGAGCTTCTACCCTCATCTCTACCCTGTTCACTCCATAGAGGAGCGGGTGAGTAGCTACACACACCATGCTTCTGTTGTAATAAGTGATCATTCATATTGCTGAAAAGTCTCTATCATTAAAATCATATCTTAGTGCTTGCTTTCATTGGTTGGTCAAAGTTTGCTGAAGGACATTCTGATGGAACCTGTTATGGAATGTCATCAGGTCTTTGTGTAGCGATAGTAAGCACAGATCTGATTTTAATGAGGTTAAGGAATTCAAGGACAGATTTGAAATACTGTTCTAAGCAGCGTCAAACCATACCCTCATTCATTTAAATAAGAACACATTAAAATTCCATATTGGAGCTTAATGTATGACAAAACAAAGTTAGAAATTATGCATGAAAGTCATTGAGTCATTGTCACAGCACTTACATTTGTAGGTACAGCTATATAAGGGGATCCCTTGATTGAAATAATAATTTTGAACACTATTTTACACTTGGAAGTTTGCTATTTTATGACAAGTCATAAATGTATAAGCCATCTCATGATTTTAACAATCTCAAGGTTATAAAAGTCTGTGAATCTATTTTAAAACCAGTAACTTTTTGTTTCCAGACCACGATGACCCGAGGTGGTTTGGTAATCCCCAAGCCCCCGTTGCTGCAGTTATCGTCAGCCAACATTGACCGCCATGGGGCATACCTCATGGACGTCGGCAACGACCTGTACCTGATGGTTGGCGGAGCTATCAGTGACCAGTTTTGTCAGGATATACTCGACAAGCCAAACTTCATGTCAATACCGGAGGGAATGGTGAGCGTTTGATTATCCTTACTGGTTACATCGTGAATACTTCACAGGTTTGTATATGTTACAGGAAACAAGTATTATCAGTGATTAAGTCTAATAACTGGAAATTTCAGTGATTATGTCTAATAACTGATTCACTCGGTGGTTATGTCTAATTACTGAAATCTTCAGTAATTAGACATAATCACTGAAATGAACCAAGGGATTTTATACTTGTTTACTGAAAGCATGTCCCTGCCTTTTTTATAATAACTTGAGAGAAGGCTGTCCTGTCCTAAGCCAATCTCCTGTAAACAAACGGAAAGCCTCGACATCCCCAAAGCCAAGGTTCTGTAGAGAGGGCGAACTGTGACATTAAAAACAATCTAGTTAGGGTATAGTTAGGGTATCTGGTTACAGGAGGTTGTATTTACTTTGATAGCTAATCTAATTTCAAAACTAGCACACATTATAAAAACAAGGCAGGGATATGCTTTCAGTAAACAAGTATAAAATCCCTTGGTTCATTTCAGTGATTATGTCTAATTACTGAAGATTTCAGTAATTAGACATAACCACCGAGTGAATCAGTTATTCATATACACAACATTCCTCCATCCCTGTCAATACATATGGCTGAACTGCAGTGTATTTGCCAACAAATCAGCTTCGGCATGGTTCCATCCAGAGGGTGCTCACTTCTCAGACCAATGACACAGATTACATCAGATTATGGACCCGTGAAGATCCGGGTTAGAATAGGTCTTCAGCAACCCATGCTTGCTGTAAGAGGCGACTAAGGGGTGTGGGTGGCAAGGCTTGCGGACTTGATTGATGCATGTTATCGTAATCCAATTGTGTTGATCGATGCGCATGATATCTTATCACTGGATTGTCTGGTCCAGAATTGAGTATTTACAGACTGACGTCATAGAGCTGGAATATTGCAGTGCTGTGTTAAACAAACAAACAAACAAACAAACAAGCAACATATTTCTTGTGCAGCATGTGCCTTAGTCTTTGTGTCCATCTGCTGTATGCATTGCCTCGGTATGAAGCATGAGGGAATGGTTGGGGTCACACAAAGTTCATGCACGTAGGAGGGCTCATTTGACTTCCGTGAGTTATAAATAGCCTGTTTTCATTAGCTGACTGAGAATAGACAGATGTCATCACTACACTGTAAAACAGCAGAATGTATTCATGGGTGATGGAAGAACATAGCGGTGAAGTATTGACGATGTACTGGCTGTAGAATTGACCTATCTGAATGAGAAGTTGCAGTCTTCATAACATGCAACTTCTGGTGTACAGAACCTTAACGAGCTTACTGGACATTGCTACTATCATCAAACCTTGGTGGGGGCACGGGTGGCCCAGCCGTCTAAGGTGCCGTGATTCGCTGTGCAGAGTTGCGTCCCTTGGGCACGCCAGAAACCTATGGTTGTGGGTTTGAATCCCGGTTTGCCCCAATTATGTTTCTAGGTTTGTCAACACCATACCCATGCTTGTGGGTTTCACCGAAGTGGTAAACATTTCAGACCTGCATCACTTCAGGCTTTCCTCCCACATTAAGCCGACACGCCACGATATAACTGCAATAATGTTAAAGGTGGCGTTAAACCAAACTCACTCACTCACTCACTCAAACCTGCTTTGTCTGGGCAGACTCCAGTGGTTGTCATATAGCTGTTAAACAAAAAAACCAACATGTCTGTATATCTCAGCATAGGATAGAAGTTGATCTGAGATCAGATTATTTTGGGGATCAAAATGCACCAAAAATTCTTGGGATCAAAATGTCTTCTACAACTCTCATCAGTGAATATGTGAACTCCTTCAGTGTAAACTATTTCCTCTCCAGAATGACCTACCAGAGACTGAAAATCCGTCCTCAGAAAGGTTACGCAACTTCATCAACTATCTGATGGACAGCAGACCGTATGGAGCAAGCTTCCTGGTGCTTCGGTGAGTCTCTCAACATCTGTAGTGCATATGTTCATGGATATAGTTGGAAAGTGGGTGGATTGGGTTCAAGGTCAGAATACATTAATTGCATCATTTTCATTACTGACCTCACTATGAAACTTCATATACCATTGTCCCCAAGTACACACAGGTAAAGGAAATTGCTGTGTTTGTTCCCTACAAACCTGAGGTCGCGTGGCCCCCTAGCAGGGCTCTGGAAATTTTAGAACTGCGCACTCTTAAAACGTTTTTATCTGCACCCTGAGATTAAACTTTGCTTCCATTTGCCTCATTTCATGGCAATTAATGAGCAAATAAAGAAGTTACAAAATTGCAGCCTGTTGTCATTCTACCAAGGAGATCCAATTTAAAAAACAGGGTGAAAGGGTGAAATTTTTACTAACCAGACAGGCTATCTACTTTACGTTTTAGCAAGCTCTTTGTTATTTTAACTGGCCATGGGCCAGCAGATAAATCGACCTGTGTTATCTGAGATGCATCGAACGCTCTGGTAAAATAGATCCTAATGATTTTACCCTTTTGTTTCAGGGAAGACAGCAAAAACCGACAATTGTTCTTTCAACACATGGTAGAAGATAAAACAGAGTCAAGCATGTCATATTACGAGTTTTTACAATATTTACAACAACGGACAAAGAGTTAGGAACTAATGGCGGTTGAGTGAATTGACATTTAAAAGAGCGATGACCTGTGCAGTACAGCCGGACATGGCCTGTCGTCAGCACTTGGATGTGGAGAGAATGGACAAAGATGCTACCCTCTTCACACATCTACAGACAAAGGCCGTGCAGGCCCCCTAGGCTGCATCACTTTATCAGCACTATGTCGTGTTTCTTTTTCTGCACAACAGATTTCATTGCTCCAAAGAATGCCCAATTAGTGCCAAAGTCAGCCTACATGTGTATTGTTCAATGTCTAGAATCATCAAAAGCTTAATATATTATTTTTTCGTTCTCAAATATTTGCCTTGAAGATGGCCCCAGATTAATTGATTTGTGTTGGATTCGTACTGTTGTTTATGTAGAGGGTGTACTTTCTTCTGTTGAAGGCAAATTTGTGTTAATACTATTTATTGTAATTTTTCCTATGGACAGAATGGGTTATTAGTATCAATTTGTTCTACGATATGCAAGAGGAACTACTATCACTACTACCATAACCAGACTGCCCTGTCATACAGTATTGTACCTTGACTCAAGTAACATCTCAACGATGGCTGTTACTTTTGTTGTTATCTAATATACGGATGTCAGTTGTTTTTTTGAAAATATTTCCTTAACTGCCTGAATGTGTTGAATGATGAAACATGGAGAGGATTGTAATGACTTTCAAAATCTGTGTGCCACATTTCCCTCGGCAGTGTTCCACATACAGTCGTTATGTTTATGAGTTACGATAGTTGATAGTCGTAACGCTAAGGAACAGGCCCTGTCTCTGAACATATATAGTGTCTCAAGAGACATGCATGTAAAGCCGGATGCTATAAAGCTGTCTGGATCTACTGTCTGCATGTATTAAAAGTGGTGCGATTATTGAAATGTGATATTTTTTACCATGTGCACCCAAGCAATGAAATGTGAAACATTACAGAATATACATGAGTGCTTGGAGAACTTTATATGTGCTTGTGTTGTTTTGAAATATACATGCCAGCTGATGGATCAGCTGTGTCTTCCCTGCTCTGATGGATTGTCAACAGTAAGTGATATCCGCAACATTAAGTGATATCGGCATAACACCTACGTCAACATTTGTTGCAGTGATTATGACATAGTCTAATGAAACCATTCCTTGTTCCTTAGTGGTGTGTTTTACATGTGTTGATTTTATGGTAACAACTCCCTGTGTAAATATCTCCCCGGTCCCTTATTGTACATAATACACACAACTGCAATGAAGGGGAATGTTTTTTAAGCTAGCGAATGAAAGTGTTTTGGTTGAATACAAATCTTTCTTTCTAAAAGGATATTTTGTATTGGCTTTGAGTGTTTTAATTGCATGGGTGTCATATATGAGAACCTGATGCGGAAGCGATCACTTGCATTGTCATCAGTAAACACAGGGTTGGCTTTCATCATTGAAGTATATGGGTTCGATATTTGACAGCTCACACATTTCTGAATTGTAACCATAGTATGGAGCTGTTTCAATTGGTAACATACACCCTCATTCTACAGGTTATTTTGTGAACATGTATCTACACATTTATCAAAATCATGTTAAACAGTTGCTGCTTTTGGATGTGTAGACTTGCCAAAGAACTGCAGCATGGTTCGCTAAGTTGTCTTACTGCTACGATCGTTGTTACTTTTATACTGTGTTGTAGCACTGTGATTCCTTTGTGAGCTGTGGCCCAGAAATAATATTAGATTATTATTTGACATTAGTATCATCCTGGGGTAACATTCTGAGGTTATAAGGGCCCTGTTCTACTGATGATCTTGGCGCTAAGATGAATGTAACTGCCAAACATTTTTAGAGTTACGATAGTTGTACGTAAATGATCGTTACCTTAATATAGACTTATGATTGTCTTTGTGACAGCCATTGTAACTCCCACACTTTAATATTGACTTATGACCGTCATGGCACTAAGATGGTTGTAACACCAATTATATAACAGACTAACAACAATCGTAGCCTAAGATTGCTTTCAGGAACAGGGTCTTTATGTCCCTTATAGGGCTGTATGTTATGCATTGCTAAGCATTTGAAACGGCTTGGGAGGGTGCTGAAAATGTATACATCCGAGTTGCTGCGGGACTCTGTTGTTAATATTTGTATGAATATAGGTGCAATATATTCAGACTTCGCTGGTGATTTCACTATTCATTCATGACAGAGCGGCAGGTCATTTGTAATCAGTTCCAGTTCTCTTCACGTTTGCAAGGTGTTCTTATTGTAAATATGCATATAGGTTATAGCATGGGTGGGGTCACTGTGTACATAGGCAGCCCCGGGCTGTCAACATTGAGGCTGACGGACACTCATGCTAACTGGACAGTTCAACTTGTACAATATCAAATCACTGTATTAATTTGCCATTTGATGATAGTCTTGTCAAAATAAATGCTGTACACACCATCATTCTTTGTTTTTGTTGCTTGGTATTTTTGTAGTAGTAATTTGTGAACATCAGGAGAGTTCCTTTATGTTCTATATGCTGGTGCTATAATTATGGAAATTGCCTGTTCATAACTACCTTAAAAATGACCATTCCAGAGACCTTGACCTTCAATAAAGGTCACTCAAGAGCTTACCAAGTCAATGCCCCACCCCAAAGATGATATACATGTACTAAATTTCATCCTGTTAGTGAGAACACTTTTAGTTAACTTGGGAATAATTCATTTTTTGAGTGTATGACCTTCTGTGAATTTGACCTTCACTATCACTGACAATCAGTTTTCAAATTATATAAAAAGATTTCATGCATATACTAAAACCATATCTGCAGAAAAAAACTCAAAAATAGAACGGTCTTCACTGTGACCTTGACCTTAGGACACACAACACCATTGCCAATCTGGGCCAAACCTAAGGATGACATTACGAAGTTTCATTGACCTAAAATAAATCCTTCTTGGGTCGGTAAATAGTTTTTTTCAGGCCAAGACATGCATATTCTACTCTGTTGATTGATTGATTTGGGATTAATGCCATTTTGAACATTATTCCAGTCATATTCCGGCATGTCAGCTTGATGTGTGAGGAAAGCCTGAAGTCAGTGATGCAGGGCTTAGACCTTTACCACTTTGGTGAAACCCTTGAGCACTTATACAAAGAATTCAAACCACTACATGTATAAGACTTTTAAAAATCTGCAGAAAAAGGCATTTCAGTGACAATGGCAAACATGCTGTAGAATGTCTTACCTGTGACCTTGACCATATATATAGGTCAATCAGAATTTCTTTTCAGATCGCTGCCCCACCCAAAGGATGACAAGTACCAAATTTCACTGACATACAGTAAAAGCTATAGAGGAGATATGTATACAAGATAGCACTTGGCCATCCCAGGGATGTGATATGCGGTTTCAAAAAACGAAGTGCAGTGGCTGCAGCATTCAAATTCAAACAAAACTGTAAAGCATCCCCACTTACATGAGGTTGCTTTACGTTCAAGATTATTGCGCTCATATAGGCGAGGTGAGGTAAGGGGAAATGGAATTTAACGTTGCATCCAAGATCATTGCACTTACATAGCGACGTGCATGCACGTGTGTGTGGCTGCTTGTACTAGTCGGGACTGATGCTGATTTATAGTGCTAGCTCAGAGATACCCCACTCAGACACAGTATACCGACCCGTCCTTGTTTTAGCCCCTTAATGCCGAGTGCCAGACAGGGTAACAAGTACCATCATTTAACGTCTTTTGGTATGACGTCGCTGGGGATCGAACTCCGGGCCTTTCGCTCGCCCACTAGACCACAGAGGCGGCCTGCACTCATGTAGTGATGTGCATGCACTTGTGAGTCTATGTGTGTGTTAATGCTGTTTTCATAATGCTCACACTATGAGATACCATGCCATAGTTCTAACATGGATACCTCATTCAGACTGACTCTGAGCCCACTTTTATCCCCTTAATGCTGAGTGCCAAGCAGGGTAACAACAAGTACCATCTTCCACAACCATTGGTATGACACATCTTGCAGTCGAACAATTGACCTTCTGCTCTCCGGGCTGAAGAACTATTCACCGCACAACGGAGGTGGTCTGTTCGTGATACAGTTCCACCAAATGTTTGTTTGTTTGTTTGTTTGTTGTTTAACACAGCGCTCAGCAATATTCCAGCTACATGATGGCAGTCTGTAAATAATCAAGTCTGGACCAGACAATCCAGTGATTGATAGCATGAGCATGAGCAATACACTCATTTAATCGCTCATCTGGTTTTCTGTACACAAACCGCCAACCTGTAATGTGAACTTCCTCTATTCAGATTTTTTTCATGCATCAATTTTTAATATACCGGTAATGAACATGCAGTGATATGTTGTTGCCAAACCTGTTATTTTTTTTGCATATTCTATTTAACCCAGTACTCCAGAAAGATAAACAACAGCTTTAGAGCCCTGTTGCTTTTCTTAAATTTTATTTGTCTGTTATTATCACGCTGAATCTCCGACCTATACAATAAAATGCAGGTAGCGTCTCTATACTTCTTGGCACACACACAAACACATCATATATGTTAATAGATCAAGTCACTCTTGTTTGTGATAGTCTGCACTTGTTAGCGTCTCTGTACTTCTTGGCACACAAACACATCATATATGTTTATAGATCATGTCACTCTTGTTTGTGATGGTCTGTATCTCCAACTTGACTGGACACTTGAGGAAGTAGGAGAGTATCTCTTCCGTGTATCCCCACAGGAAGTACACCTTCTGTGCGTTGATGCTTTGGTACATCATGGTAGTGATGGTGATGATGTTGTGTCGCCTCTTTATGATCACTTCCGAAGCAACCAGAGTGGGAAATGTGCCTTTGATGAATCGACGAATGAAGATATCGTCCACAGTTGTCTCTGCCTTACGACCTTCACCCTTCAAATTACCTGAAACAATGCATACACCATATACACAAAGGGTGTCACCTGGTCTGTATTCAGAGTTGAACTTTTTATATACTTTTTATAAGTAGTGAGTGAGTGAGTTGGGTATAACGCCGCTTTGAACAGTATTCCTGTTATATCACTGTGTGTCAGCTAAATGTTGGAGGAAAGCACGAAGTGATGCAGGTCTTAGACATTTACTACTTTGGTGAAACCCACAAGCATGGGTATGGTGCTGACAAACCTAGAAACATAATCGGGGCGAACCTGGATTTGAACCCACTATTATAGGTTTCTGGTGTACCCAATGAACGCAGCTCTGCAGTGTGAATTGTGGCGCCTTGATGACTGGGTTACCCGCGTTCCGTCATCATAAGCAGAAACAAACACATGCCAAAGTCAAGTGTGCTGAAACGTGAGCAATTATCCTCAATTGTGCAGCACAGTCTTCGACTGTAGCCACTAGTCCAGTCAAATCCTGTTCATAATGTAAGATCAGCAAAAACTAGTCCATATAATAACAGTAAATACTACAGAAATTGATGCCAAGTTCCAAATTCAAGTTCAGGCAGTAGAAGTTTTTGCAAACATTGCCGTATCTTAATTCCTTATAAGGATACAAATACCCTTGATCCATTCACTACCATAGCTTCGTTGAGTGTGGTTCGAATTATTCTTCCAATCAAACTGATTACAACCAGCAGCGAACTCCACCAGTACTCCACTTGACTTTTGCATTGCAGTCTCAAACACACCTAGAATGTCTTAATATTCAGAAAAAACATCTTTTCCAGCTAAATGTTACATTTATAAGAGTCTTCTATTTCGATTAAATAAATCAAGAGCTTGTTTGGACATGTCTGTGACCTTGAAAGTAGATCCTTGCCAAATGCATAGGGAATGGAGACTTAAAGCAATGGCTAGCCGAGAAGGCAGATAACTGTCGGACAGTAAAACATATACTGACTGGTCCTGGGGCAGTATCACTAACCATAAGGCCACATGACAATAGGGATGCATCTTCCCGAGGCAAGGGAGTTAACTGACTATGAAAGCCCAGTTTCCACCCTTGCCAAACTAGGCTGGGATTCCTGAGTTATATTTTGGCCGGACCAACGAGTCTATACATAGTCCAATCAAAATTGCCATTCGGTTCATAAGCAACATGTGTTGATTGCAGGATTTGCAGAGCATGTGTACCGTCAAATGGGTGTCGACAGATGTTTTTCAAATCTTTTCATGTTCTTAATCAAGGTCCTCAAGTGATTTGAAGCACTTCAAGAGGTAAGACAACCTGAATATTGATCAGATCGTTTTGACTGGGTGCCGCCATTTTGTTTGTATCAAATGCAAGTGATATAAAGAGGGGGAATCCGATTGGTCAGAAGGAGGGACATAGATGGGACATAACCCGTAATCGCCACTGGTGGCGCTACGATGGAACCGAAACATCACATGACTAACCACGGGTTCGGATAGTCCTGTGGGTACCCGGGTCCTACTCAGTACCCACCTGACCTGAGTACCCGAGTTACCCGTCCTATCCCTACTACCTGACCCTACTAATCTTCCCGACCTCACTAATCTCCACAACACCTACTTGTGTTCCAGGTGTTCCATGACTTCCGGACACCTATCATGTGAGGAGGATTAGCTTCCTCATATGTCAAAGCTTTGTCTCCCTTGACGGATATTTTCGGAACACCAGATCGAATGTTTTTACAAACGCAGGCTGTCGTGGTTACACCTCTCAACTGTAGCTCAGCAAGCTTGATGAGACAGGGAACTCGATTTCGTACCTGTAATCGAGTAAAAAAGACATTAGCACCATCCTTTCATAAACAATGATGTCTAATGTCATGTGTAATATGTCACTGTCAATAATTGTTGACATCACTCACTGGATACAAAAACTAGGCCAGCCCTTACTGCAACTGCTGTAAGTGAATGGCAAGCCATATTTTAACAATAACTATATGTAAGCAGCCTAGGACATCAATCATATTCAAATCAGATCTACACTCTTCACTCTGATAAACACCCGTCCATAGGAAGTTACTTTCTAATCAGCTTTATTAGTATGAGGCTTCTATAAGTTCTTGGTATGAGTGAAAGAAGCAATCAGACAATCAAATCTGATTTCTTTCTTGAAAATGAATATAACCAGGTAGTTATAAATGCATAAAAAAAGATGTTCTATTATATTGTTGTTGATATCTTATACATCCTTTTGTTTCTGAGTGCCATGGCACCTACATCCAAAAGGGTTTACTATCAAGAGTATATTTGTGGATTTTCTTTGGCTAAGATTAAAATTTCTGAATCAAAGCGGGAAAGAAATGAAGCTGAATCATTTAAGCTGCCATCAGATTCGCAAGAACCAACATATCCTTCATTCAGATTGGGGGGTCAAAGTTTGCTCAGGGTTTACCTGATACAAATTCCCATGTGTCCTTAACATCTTCAGGCAGAGATATCGTAATGGAGTACCCGGTTATAGATGGATTCTGATTTAGCCAGCAACATGTCCTTTCACTATTGAATAATGCAGAAGAGTTAGAGTTTCTGTACTGAATGAGTTGTAATATAACACAATTTCATTTTTTTTTCGAGCAATACTCAAGTGTTATTGGTAACATTTCCGCCTGCCCCTCAAAAATACATATAATTAAAACGATTGCGCAGCAATGCATTCTTATATAACTTTTAGAGGGGGATACAAGCAGGGGTCTTTCCGTGTTATTTTCCTGAATTTATCTTCGCTAGTGTACTAATGGGAGTAAGTGCTATGTTAGATTTATTTTTGTTCAACTCAGCTGACAGGCAGAACCAGGGACCATATCGGTATACATCTCTGACAGAACCTATGTTGTATACTGATTTTCTCTGTTTTCTAATTTTACAGTTATATAAGTAATTGTTGTTTCAGATTAAAAAAGTCGAAATGAATTTGGAAGCAATGAATCGGCGGAACATATTATTCAGTTCTATTGAATATGTGGGCCCGAATATGTTCAAACCAAACTGACAAAATCATTGCCAATAAAGTTTTAATGGTCGAAAACCGGACAATCTGCTCGAAAGGTCAACTCAGACGAGATATCGTATCGGTATTGTACACAATTCCAGATTCGCAATAACATTAACACCAAATCCCGCCACCGTAATCCTTTATAATATGGATTACCGTGATGGTTTTTTTGTCGCAACTAAATCTATCATGTAAATTTAGTGCACACACCTGACACAACACCGAGGCCATGCTGTCAGTTCTGCGATCATTCTGCACTCACAACGTTTCCATATGTAAACTGACATTTCATTGGATAGTGAAAACATGTCAACCAATTGCAGTGTTCGACTCACTGGCTCAGGAAGTACGTCACGGGCACGTCGATGCAGCCATTTTGTGTCACGTATTTGCTATCCAAAAGATAGAGAACTTATAAATCCACATCCTCTGATACACTTACACCCGGGTCCTCATATTCGATAATATTAGGTCAGAGAGACAAGTAAGTATAGGATCTTATTTTGTATAATATCTACTCTTCATATTTCATCTTTCAACCACCTTGTGTCCAATGTTTGACGTGGTTTTTGAAATGAAAGTAATTTTTAACAGCTTTTTGCCAGTCATCATATAGATATAGGGTTACCTTCACCTATTCTATCAACGTGTTATATAATTTAAGTAGTAAGTCTTAAACTCAAACAGTTACAGTTTCTTTCATTGAGGCCGTACCATTTTCTGTACCCAAGACGTTGCAAATGCCACATGATCTACAGCTGTATACTGCGTGTTTATTGCGTGTTTATTTTGTCACGTTGAGCTCGCACAAGTATGTTTTCTGGCGATTTAATGTTCCCTGTTACATGATTAAATAACATATAGTGACGTTATTAGACTTTATTGGGAAGGAACATGAACTATTTGGGGGATTTGTTTTTATAAACTTGATAGGTGAAGGGGGTATGCATGCTATCACTGACAGCAACATATGTTAGTTTTTAACTTTAATTATTCTTGTTTTACTCATATAGCTAGGAAACAAATCCAGGTACAGAAGAATGATAAACCTGTACAACATTGTGAAAATTATGACTGGTACATGTGTTTTGGCAAGTCAGTTTTGATGTTATTGTTGACAATGACACTTGTATCAAAGGATATACATAATGATAATAGTATCACAGTGATCATTGAATTTGGATTGATGTTATAAATTTTTACTTGTCAATCACTAAACACATGGCTTTTTAGATAATGATTCAGTATTTTAGTTGTGGCAAAAACATTATGTCTTTAAAGTTAAAACATGGCAAGAGGTTGTCCAAAATTTTACTTTTTTAATTTTATCTACAGATTTTTGATATATCAATAACACAATAACCCCCCCATAATAGTATAAATACTAATAATGATCAATACTTTACATTCATTACATGAATACCAGGTATAAGCATTGATCTGACTGAGAAGAGTGCATATAGGAGACATGCCAACATGTTTGTATTTGATGACTGAACTTGTGACCTAGTTAAGGTTCTTTCATCATACACATTCAATCATTCTTAGAGAATGTGGGTTGGCTTGTTCAATGGGATATTTTTGTATATTGTCCCCTTTATATCTCCATGGTTGATCATGAGTAGTGTTTGAAATTAATAGGGACCTTTATATTTGCTGCTAGTTCCTTGAATTTTTATGCTAAACCTCGAACACTGGTTGGCATAGTTCGAATGGTTAACCCCTTGGCTTTCATCCATAGTTGAAAGCATTGTTTATCGTGGTAGGCAGCTATAGCATCATGCTGGCCTTGGAGTTGCCCAGTTGTTAAAGCGTTTGCTCTAATCACACCAAAGACCCAGGTTTGATTCTCAACACGGTTAAAATGTGTGAAGCCCATATTATGGTTTATGCTTGCAAAGAACCAGATATCAATATTTTTTTTGTATGTTGATTCACTTTTCTCTGGTAGATTGTTATGTTGCAATAAGTGGTGTAAGAATCAATCTCATTAAAATCTAAATGATGATCTGAGGACATCCCATTACGGGTCACGTCAGAACTACCTTTTGTGAATTTTGACCGACCAATGGAATGACTGACAAGAAATCGATATTAGCCAATCAGAAGGCAGCTTTCTTGAGCTTTACGGCGACTACGCTCCGAAACATATTTTGACGTATTCTCGATTAAAAAAATTAAGACTGATAAGAAGAACATTCTGGAATGGCTTATAGATGGCCTAGATAGTATGGATATAATCATAAAACCCGTAACTGTCGTTTGGAATACCCTGTTATAAATATTTCGTGGTTGCATGATTAGAAAACATATTCCGACAGTCACTTTCATGATCTGGTAAGCGACGCTCTGATAGGTGGGATGAAAGGTCATTCTGATGTGACCCTTAATTGGATGTCCTCAGATCGACTAAGGTCTGATTTTAATGAGATTGTGTAAGAATGGGAATGGGATCAAATTACTGAAAAACATTATGCAGGCATGACAATAATCACAGCAAATAACCATGTTTATCATTGTTTATAGTCATGATAATAGGTTCTGATTTCCATTTTCAGGCACTTCCAAGATGTTCACCTATTTATGGGATATGGTGTCTGGTGTATTAAATTATTTAGGTAAGTATTATAAAAAATATGGAACCTTTTCAATAAGCACCAACATCCAATGGAAATTAGCATTTAGATTTTCTGTGAATTTAAAAAAATAATAATAGTGGTTTAAGCATGTTAAGACAATACACTTGGAGCACATTGTCACTCATCTTCCCGAGGCAAGAGAGTTAACTGACTATAAATGTCCAGTTTCCACCCTAGCCGAACTAGGCTGGAATTACTGGGCTCAATCGTAGTGCCACCAGTGGCTATTACGAGTTATGTGCCTTCTATGTCTCTCCTATGGACCAATCAGATTCCACGTCTTGTTTCACTTGCATTTGCATCAAACAAAATGGTGGCGCCCAGGCAAGACGATCTGCTCGATAATCAAGATCTATACTGTGATAAAACGGGTCTTACACCACAAAGTGCATCAAATCGAGCGAGCACCATGATAAAAAAAAATTAAAGATTTGGAAAATATCTGTTGACAACGAGTTGTCCGTGCACATGCTTTGTAAATCCTGCAGTCGAACGAAATCTTCACGACTTTTTACAAACTGGATTTCAATTATGTTGCACAATTTTGATTGGATTGTGCATAGACTCGTTAGTCCAGCCAAAATGTAACTCCATTAAACCAGCCTAGTTCGGCAAGGGTGGAAACTGGAATTTTATAGCCAGTTGACACTCTTGTTTCGAGAAGATGATTGCCACTGAAATGATGTCATCCGATGGAGTTGAGTTTCTGTATCTCTTACTTATGTGGTACCCTGGTTACTATGACAATCAATTCCACAAGAATATAAGTATCTAAACTAGACTCCTGGACAGGGAAAGTTGGTGGTTCAATTTTTTGGCTGCGTCATTACCAGAAGTCATTGTAAGATGGTACTTGTTGTTACCCTGCCTGGCGTGTGGCATTAAGGGAATAAAGCAAGTACTGGCTGGCTCAGTGTAGTGTGTCTGTGTAGGGTATCCATGTTGAACTGCGGAATGGTGTTTCAGTGGTCTACCCACCTATAAAACTGGCATTTGTCAGCCACATACACATGCATGTATGTTGAATAGAAGTGAAATAATCTTCAACGCAATCTTAACATGCTTAAACCCCATTTCACCTCTCCCCCAAAAGAAATGCTCCTGCTACACATTAAGCTTTTGTCAGTGTTTAAATTTATTCTTTATCCTTCATTCAATGTGTTGCTGATCCTCTTTAGGGTCGGGGATTTCGGTTTGAGAAAAGCCATTTTTTTTGTTCACATCTATCCCTGAATACAACATTGCTTTTAAGGGGAGGCTTGGTTCCACTGCCACATTGTGAGCCTATTTCCAGTCTTTTCTACACATTATAATTGATACTCTCTGTGATATTGAGACATTTTCATTTATTGCTTTATTCAGCAACATCACAAGGTTTGATTGTGCAGACATGTAATGTGGTGTTGGAATGACTGAATAAAACTTTGCTAAGTATCCTGAGCATATTTCCTCAGACCAGCGACAGAACTTTTATATTGCATCTGTAATACATTAACAGTGTTAGAAATTAAGGGATTTTCTTTAGATCTGCTGTACAGCTTTAATCTTGGGTCCCCTAAAACTTTTAACATTTAGAGTTATGTCACTGGTTCTTTAGTTTGAATTTCAAACACTCCATTAAGAATCCCTGTTTGCTGCCATGTGGCAGTTTATTTCATTCAATCTTTCAAGTGAATGTCATTGCTACCTATCCAGGCTTCGGCAAGAAATCAGGCAAACTAATATTTCTTGGTTTGGACAATGCTGGTAAGACTACCTTGCTTAGCGTGTTGAAGGAGGGGCACCTGACCCAGCCCGTCCCCACACTCCACCCCAGTAAGTACAAGGTCTTGGAGGAGAGTTGGCCGTGATGCATGATAATAGCTAAACCCATGACTGAAATGTGCTAATATGGCTTCCCTACTAAGTAAGCATGTGAGAAACTGTTATGCTTGAGTTTGTAGCACTTTTAATTGATTGGTGTGTAAAGTGGATCCTATGTCCTGTTGTGAGGCAAGTGCAGGTACTGATGCAGAGTCCGCTGTGGATCTGTATGTGGAGTCACTGTTGGGTTATAATACAATTTTAAATAGGTGCTAAGTTTGGATACATGGTAAGTCTGCATACAATGACTTGGGCATTCTTGAGTTAAAGATGGCAATGGGATATAATGATTTGCACGTACAACCATGACAACTATTCCATGTTTACTCAACATGCTCAAAGGCATTCCATATCTACAGGCTATCTCTATATAGGTGTATTTCTGCTGATTCACCGTGACACTTTAGTTGTTTTACTTAGCTGATATTTTGGGACCCCTGTTCCTCAATCATAAGGCTTGAACTCGGCCATTTATCTAACCACTGACATGTATAGTTCAGGTATAATTTAAAAAATGCATTTCAAATTATATTCTTAAAATAGCATTTGATAGATATTGCTACAGATATAAGACAAAATAATCCTGAATTCTGAAATGCTTTCAAATGAACGATAAGTCTATTTGGTTTTGGTCAAATGGCATACAGTACAGTTGAAACTTCAATGTTTTGATGAAATGAATGGTTGTACATGTATCAACCATTGAGGTTGATCCATTTTAGACACTTCTATGGAAGAATGTCATGTTTGCAATAATTTCCATTTGTGCATATTTAAGCCAAGC